AACATTTTATATATATAGATAAATAAATAAATTTATAATTGCTATATTATCAATTTTTTATTACTTTTTTTACATTAAGTAATAAAACAATTATAACAATAATTATAACTCATAATTTTATTGTTGAAGATAAACATAAAACTCAACATAAATAATAATTTGATTCATAATTATATAACTTTAGATGAAAGAAAATGAATAGTTTATTCATGAATAATTGTATATAATAATTATATAATAAATAATAAAATAAATATATATAAATTGCTATCCTATTTAATGCACATGATAACCTTTTCATTGTATATAATAATTATATAATAAATTATAAATAAATAATAAATATATATGATCATTATATTATTATATATTAAATATATATAAAATGCTACCCTATATAATGCATAGGGTAGCATTATATATATATATAGATAGATATAGATTATTTAAGTCATTAATTATATTATCTCTCCTTCATTCACCATTATTGATAGTATTTGTCCATTTTAATTATTGTACATGTAATTTTGTAAAGCATATATAATTAACTCAAGAAATCATTTAATTGATGTCATGTCATGTTGTGTAATGTGTAATGTTATAGCTGTAGCATCACCATTTTTTATGATGCTTTTAAAATTTTAATTGTTACTTTAAAAAGTATCATTTAAAATTGCATGTATAAAATCAAGCCGCACAAATAAATGGAAACGAAATGAGTACTTAGTTTCCACTCATTTTTTGAAAGATAGAAAATAATGGCTTTGATAACCATCTTCTCTTTTACATCGATAAGAGGAGGATGAGGAAGATAGGGATAAAATGGAAAATGGATCCATAAGTGCTGAATTTGTAACTACTGCCAACTCAATGAAGCCCACTGAAAAATGGTGGGGAAGGAGCAAGGTACAGAAGGGAAGGAGAAGAAAAGGAATTTGGCTCAGAAGACAAAATCTCATCAGATGATACTTAAGAGTGAAACAAAGGAGCAACAGGTTCTTTCTGGGAAAGGATAGATGGCAGTAATTTTCTGCTTAAAAACTTCACTCACTGTGAGGAACCTTGAATAAATGCCAACCAATTGAGTGTTGTGTCAAAACAAGGAGTGAAGTATACTTTTCAACAATCAAACTGTTTGGCATGAAGCCAATTGTGGGATTTAGATTTCATTCAAAAATAGGCAGCATCCAGTAACAGCAACCTGCACCACCCAGAAAGGCTGCAAGCTATAGGAACAATTATTTCCTATAAAATGTCAGTTTCTATAAATTGCATAGGTACTTGTATCTTTCCTTTAATTTTGGTCTAGGTTTTAGGAAATACTCAAATATGGAGGATACTTCTTACTGTAATGCCGGACTGCTTCTTCTAGAATGAAAATATCTGTCACCAAAACACTCGTCTCTAAGCACCAAAGAGCCTGATCTTCAATTTACTTGCACACATGAGCATAAAGACCTTAATTCAGTATTAACCAACATGTTTGCAAGAATTTAAAAACTGTATTAGCCAAACTTAAATCCTAAAATGGAGGAAATTAGCAGTGGAGAGACATTACTCAAATTGACAGCGTGCTCAAAAACATGAGCTGCAGCACTCTGACCAAGCTAGCTTGGCTGTGTGCACATAACTCGTCTGATAGAAGGCAAAATAATTTGAAGATTATAACTCCTTGTCATGGCTAGATGATTAGATTCAAATCATGGATAATCCCGACAAGGGCAAGAGCCAGTCCAAAAATGATGGAAACTATTCTCATTACAAATTGTCATCTCTCTGTGTGTTACATCTTGTATAAGATTCAGAAATTCACAGTAGTTACCACTAAATGCACGTTTTTTTTTTTTTTTTTTTATATGGAAAATCAGAATTATTTTCATGCGACAGGTGCTTTCTTATAAGGGATCAAGCAAGACCCAATCTTTCACCATGAAGATGGAGAGAAACCTTTTCATAGTTAACTTGAAGCATGTATTCTATCTTAGGCACATTACCTATGGAATTTGCATTCAACACAAGCTCCTCCAATTTCCTATAGTTCTCAGTGATTTATGTTGGTGAAGCATCATGAGACTGACGAAGTGCAGTTGATAATTGACGATTACCCAACAACACTCAGGTTCCTACTTAGCTCTCTGACTAATCATCAATGCCCTGAACTTTCTAACATCATTCATCTACCTTTTGAGCATGAATGTTGGACAGAAATATATAATACAAGTCTGTCCAGTTTCAAGCTCAAAAAGTTTTCCTGCAGTTTGCTCATCAAGTTCAACATTTCAGTCAAAAAGCCCCAAAAAGATTCTCCTAGATGAAGGCATTTGGTGTCAAATTCTTCAACATGATAAAGCACTCAACTTCAGAAAATTGGCCAGCTTGACCTAAGATGCCAAAAGGATCCCTATAAAGGTATTCTCTTCTTGCTTAATGCCTTCATCTAACCATCATCCTAAAGGTTTCCCAAGTCTTCCGTCCTTGCCCGAGTTGCAAGTCACCATCTAGCATTTCATTCCATGACATTGTATCCTCAGATGTCAACTCTGAAAAACAGCTTCAGCATCTTCTATGCACCCACATTTCCCATACATATCTACAAGTGCACTAGACACAAACATTTCACTTGAAAATCCAGCCTTAATGGCCATAGAATGAAGCAGCTGACCCTTCTCCAAGGTTGCCATGAGGGAGCAACTACTCAAACAGCTTGCAACAGTGAATTCATTGGGCTTCACGCCTTCTCTTTGCATCTGACAAAAATAACTCAAAGTCTTCTCTGCTTGATCAGTATCTGCATAGCCAGCAATAATGGTTGTCCAAGCGACCACGTCTCTATTTATCAATCTGTTAAAAGTAACATCTGCCTCTTCCAAATACCCACTTTTAGCATACATGTTAATAAGAGCGGTTCCAACAAAGTTGTTGCCATCAAGGCTGTTTTTTATTGTATGGGCATGTACTTGCTTTCCAAAAGCTACATGTAAAAGGCTACAACAAGATCTTAACACACCAGTAAAAGTGTACGCATTGGGCTTCACTCCTTCCATGAGCATTTTATAGAAAATTCCTAGCACTTCCTCAAAGTTTTTATAGTCATTGAATCCAGATAAAAAGGCATTCCATGAGACTGAATCCTGAAGAGTCATTGCCTCAAACACTCTAGCACCATTTTGCATACAACCATTTTGCATATACATTGTGATCAAGGAGCTTCTGACTAGATTATCAGACTGAAACCCGTATTTGCAGATGCAAGCATGGACGCTTTCACCATAAAGGAGGTCACTAAGGTGAGTGGCAACACAGACAAGACTGGAAAGGGTAAATTGATTTGGTGTTACTCGAGAATCTCTCATTTGGTTAAACAGATGAGCTGCTTCCCAGCTCTGTCCTTGCAGATCAAGGCAAGTGATGATTGCACTCCAGGCAACAACATCAGGATCTTTAATGTTTTCAAATATTTTCAGTGCCTCATGTACAAGCCCACACTTGGAATACATATCAACAAGAGCACAACTAACAACTTCATAAAGCTCACAGCCAATTTTTATTGCCATTGAGTGCACCACCTGGCCTTCTTTCACATATCCCGAATTCGAACAGCCCTTTAAGACAGTGGACAGAGTAAACTTGCTTAAATTCATTTGACATTCTGACATTCTGTGAAATAGTTTCAAAACCTCTTCCCCATGACCCATCTCAGAATAACCGTTAAGCAATGCATTACACAACACAACATTCTTTTCAGGTATGAAAGAGAACACTTTCTCAGCAAGTTCCATCTCCCCACATTTTGCATAGACATCCACAAGGGCAGACCCAACAAACAAATCCAAGAAGAATCCAAGTTTTATTGCCTCTGCATGAATCTGTCTCCCAAAATCAAAATCAAAGCACATACAACAGGCTTTTAAAATAGTGGCCAATGTAAACTCATTCGGCTTTATGCCCTCCTCTCGCATCTCACAAAAAGAACTAAGGCCACCACTGCCATATCCTTCAGCGACAAACCCCACAATTAACGCGGTCCACGACACAACATCTCGTTCTGGCATTCCATCGAGCACTTTACGAGCATAAACAACTCTCCCACGTTTAGCATAAACATCAATCAACGAAACCGACAGACGTGAATCCAGCTCGATTCCCCTAGTTATAAGACGCCCATGTATCGTTTTTCCCTCACGTATAGACCCATTCGCCACGCAATCATGCAGCATCCTCGAATACCTTCTTAACCTCGCCTTATGCAGGTTGGCAGGTTTGCTCCTTCCATCTCGTTGAGTTACTTTGCTTGATGATACCAAAGAAGATTTCTTACGGCTATATGATATCCTGTGTATCTTTTGAAACCCTTTATCATGCGAAACTGGTGAATTCTCAGTACTAATGGGAGCTGAAACACTCGTGGGTTCGTCGGATACCATAACATAGTGAGCACAAGACACATAATTTGACCGAGTAAAAGGTAGGAAAGGTATCAAACTATTGTAATTTCTCTTGGGAAATTGAACGGAGGTACCAAGTATTGAGAGAAAAGGCGACAGGAAACCAGGAAAACCATGGACTGGGCGACTCATATTCATCTAAAGAAACTCATATTTATAATTAAAGTTTGACCAAGGAGTTTGAAGTATTTTGGTTATAGAAAAACTGCAGGAAAGAGGAAGAAAATACCGAGGAGACGTTGGCAAGAGTAACGAGACGGTGGAAGCAAAGAGCGGCGAGGCGGCCAGCTCCGCCCGCCCAAAACGATTAGAAGTAAAAACCTTAAAGGTAATCCTCAAACTAATCATCTTTTATTAATAAAGCCCTCAAACTAATTTTCAGTCAAGTCTCTATACTCCGTACTTTGGCCGTGATAAGTCCATATTTATGCCATTAACAGGTGCATAATAGGCAGTGTTTTAAAACCCGGCCCGATGATTGACTCGTTTTCATCATTGAGTCTAGTTCAACTGATTCAACCGATTGAACCGACTGGTTCAATTGATCATCTAAAACAAATCACTTTTTTAGTATTTTTATTAGACTCCTTCATCGACTTTGTTGCTTCTATTTGGTCCGATGAAGGAGAGGAAGATGAGTGGTGGAGGTGTGAGCAAAATCAGATGAGATCTGTTTGCTTTGCTACCACTGTTTGTCTGGTGAAAAAAAGGAAGATGAGTGGCGGAGATGTGAGCAAAATTAGGATGTTGATGAGGGAGGAAAGGTGATGAGCTACAGACAGAGGTGTAGGGAGATCAGGCTACTTTGTTGCTTCTGTTAGCAAAGGAGATGAAGCAGGGTCACTGGTTAGATGTCGATGGAGGTGCAACAGGGAGATAGGCAACTTTGTTGCTTCTATTCGAGGAAGAGATGAGGTGATGAGTCCAGTGACTGGTAAGATGCCAATGGAGGTGGAACAAGGATGAGGGAGAGGGATGTCCGATGACGTCCTTAGGTGTTTTTACAGAAAATTACTTCTGGTTAGGGTTTTTAAATTTAATTTTAGTTTAAATTTAAGGTTTTTAATGTAATATAATTTAAAAGATAGTAAATTATATTAAAAATATAAGAGAAAGTTAATAAAATGGATTGCAAATTCTGCCCAGTCGGGTGAAGCGGGTTGGCCGTTTGTAGCAAGCTTGACGAGTCTAACAAGTTTGGACAGGCTAACTTTCAAAATGGGCCAATGCATGCAATCGGCCCGTTTTTAAGTTCAGGTCCAATTAAACCGATTCAACTAGTCGAGCAGAGCCAAGCTGAACCGAGCCGAGCTGAGTGTTAAAACAATGATAATAAGGGTTATTTCCTTTTCCACTTCTTTTTTCTTTTTTGGATGTTTTTCTATTTCACGTGTTTTGTTATTTTACAAGTTGTACACATAGAATAAAGATTTATATTTTCTATATACAAGAGTTGACTTTATTAATAAGATTCAAAATCTCAAATGCTCTAACAATTAGTTCTTAAATTTAAATCCTACTTCCAACAATCTCTCATGGATATGCAATATAAAAATTCTCATTAGTATTGGTGTTATATCTTATCCTTGAATTGGTTAACCTTCACCTTTTGGTATGTGGGTTCTTAGAGAACCCAAATCTTGGTTCTTCTTTCTCTTCTCCTCTCACCCTCTCTCTCCAAGTTGAAATACATTCATGGTAAAACCCAAGTCTAGGTTTATTCTTGAGGGAACCCATCGTATGATGGTAAGCTTGCACATAAGGGAATACATTGGGTGATGTGGCTAATTCTCATATAGCAAGAACCCATTGAAGGAGCATCAATCCATATCCTTAAGGTGCAAAAGTCTAATATTTTAGGCAGTGGGCCAGAATTGCTACACTTAGATGCTGATGTAGTAATTCCTTTACACTTAAATGCCTACATCGTATGGTTCAAAATTCTTAAAATCAAATATAAAGGAATTGCCATGCAAAGTAAAAAAACAGACAATTAGTTAACTTATATGATTGCACATGATTCGGCCATTAATACAATGACTAATTTGGTCAAATTCAAATATTTGGGGTTTACGTGCCATTTTTTTTGAAGGCTTATGTAATAAAAAGCAAAAAGTCCAGGGAATTAACACTAGTTTGCCCATCAAAAAAGTTAAAGCCAAAATAACACTGATTTTTTTTTTTTTTGGTACTAATCTACTTGTATTTGGAAGTCTTAGTGACCTTAACTAATCTAGAGTTAAGTAAAGTTAGACATCATAAGTGGAAAAAGTCTCTCAACATTAACTTTTTTATGTACAAAGCTCAAAATTAAGATTTTTTTAAAGAAAAATCAAATTTCTTCTACTTAAACTAATAAGTTATTAATGAATAATGCTGATATGGCTAAGAGGTTAATGGATGTTGACTCCACGTGACCTCACGTGCACCCTTAAGGGCTAATTTCCACATATCGTGGTACTGAAGGGCTTATAAAGTCAAAATTTTGTTTGGGGGTTTTTATGTAAAAGTGAGATTAATTTATGGGCTTGACATAAGATTTTACTTATAAAATGAGAATAATTCAGGGCTTCATCTAAGGTTTTGCCCTTAAAAAGTCTTCTTAAAAGTGATCAAGTTTTAAGAGGGGTAGAATCGAAAAAAATAATTTAATAGTACTATATTTAATAAAAAAAATTGACAAATAAAACATATCTCCTATTATGAAAACTGTTTTAAGTAAAACCGACATGAGGTAGTATATATATAAAAAAAAAGGACTTGAATTTACTTTACTCTCCTCATTACAGTAGGAAATGAAAACGGAGGTAGTTTACCCATTAGATGCCGTCCAATTTTAGAGTCAGGAACTCAGGATTACAGAACTGCAAATTGAAACAAAAAATTACTGAAGTACTTAGAATTCAAAATGAATTTTGATGAAGTCAAGTTAAAAGTTAAAACCTGTAAAGGATTAAGGGGCTGTTTGACTAGGTCATTCTTCATGCAGCTTTTAAGTTAAAATATTCAAAATCTTTGTCTCTTTTGCCTTTTAAAAATTTATTTAGAGCATTTTTTGTGACGTTTAT